ACAATAAGGCCTAGCGATGGCGAATACCATCCCGATGCTAACAAGGTATGAACTTAACGGTCATTTGCCCGGCAACACCATAATTTCTTGTAATCGTTGGATTCAGGAGACTCTTACCATTCAGAATATTAAATATATATTGTCGACGGGTTTTGTTTAAGCCTGACAAACCTGAGAGGAGCGACTGCTCTAAGATCGAGATAACCTTACTGCCAAGCAAATGTTCATGTTGATCAATAGAGGTATCGTGTATTGAAATGAGAGCGACCGAGCTAGGTGAGATACATTCTAAAATTCAGCCAATTTTCTGATTCTACGCGGACCTACTCGACAATATTTATATTTTCTGAATCTAGAGGATCTGTATAATACAATGCTTTCAAGAATACATCATATTCCTTGGCGAATCTGAGGATCGTGTTACTTTGAATGCAGTATAAAGATTGATCAATACAACGTATCAAAATGAACAACATCTTCTTCAGAAACTTGTCGTTAGCTGTTTCTCTGAAATTAATCAAAATTTTTCAGCCACGTTTATGCGTTTATGAAACTAGAGAATCTGCGGATCTCAATAGTCCTTATGTAATCGGTTCTTGTGCAAACCTGAAGATAGAGTTTGTTTTTATATGGTGCTCGATGTGATGCCGTAATTTTTTTATTGTGGTATATTTCTTCATTTCTAAGCGATCTTACGTCTGGAATGTTGATGATTATAGTAATGCGACGTTTGATTTGATTGGTTTGACTCTACTTATCGTTGTTCATTTGCATTATCTCCTCAGAGAAGAGTTTTCTTTATCCACAGAGATTTCTCTTGATTATTGCGCTGATCTTTGGTTTGGCATTGCTTGGCGGGTGTTTTGTTCGTTTGAATGTCTTTCATTCCTATATGTGATTTGATCAGCTGTTTGCTAGTGAGTTGGATGAGAAATCTTGTTCATTTTTGGGTTTTGTCAAGTTTCTGTGATTATATTCATTAGATGAGATTTTCCTTAGCAATTCCTCTCCCAGATAGCATCATTTCGACCTGGAAAGCTTGAAATTCCTGCTTACAGACTATGGATTCAAGCGAAACATCTGAATCGATGCAGTTAAACTATCAATTACCGCTCTCAAAAGTGAAACGAATCTGTAAACTGGCGTCAGATTCCAATGCCAACGTTACCTCTGAAGCTGCTCAATTGATTACTATAGCTACAGTAGGTTACGGAGACTTTTAACGGAATTATGTTCGTGTTCCCAAATGATAGTTTTGGTTAAGGCTTAAAAGTTTTATCTTTTTTTTAGTTTTTCCTCATATTTTTCTGCCTTTCAACTGTCTGGTGCCCGATTCGACAGAGTCAGTTACTTTAGGAATGCTTCGTGAAACTTTTCGCGAAAGCAGCTGGTGAACAATGTGTGTTGTCTAGTCGGCGGACAATTCAGCTAAAAGACATCGGTCGGTGTTTCATTATATATTCTTCTTTTTGTTCAACGCTTGTTCGAGAGATCCATGCTTCAAGCCGAAAAATTTATTATAGTGTCTCGGAGAGATTCCGAGTATTGGTTTCCG